GGTTTCATAATGGAATTTCAACATTAGTCCTAATGGGTTTTTGTAAACATACCAAAACACATTTTAGACCCAAAAAGTCAGAGATAATGGAAGGTGAGAGCGATTTTTCTTCAAATAGGCAAGTATTTAGGGCACTCTACAAACAGCATTAATTAATGCTCTGGATGACTGACCAGGAAAATATGAAATCTATTTTTATAGTACATTAATTTGTATTAGTAGTAAGCAGGACTTGTCTGATATCCCCAAGACCCCGTATCTCTGAACTCCTGATCCATACTCGATAACATCTTTCACAGGCAGTCTGCAGACCAGACTCACTCTATTATCCGAAGAGGATCAGATCAAAAGACCGCTTTGATTACATGCTTTGATAAACAATCAGAAAATCAGCAATATACATTTTATTAAATGCATCTTTAGATCCCAGAGGTGTATTTACAAAAAGCACCATTTATGCCTACTCTCTGGTCTCCAGAAAAGTTCATCGAGCATCGATGAATATCAATAGGGGCAATTATTTCTGCATAGAGGAATTCAGTGACACACCTTTGCTTCATACACACTTTCATGTCAGACATCATTGCATCAGACTGTCCCTCTGCTGCCATCTGTCACACAGCAACAACATGGAATGGAAAATTGATGGGAAGATTCAACCTGTATTGCCATACCTCTAACACTTACCTCTGATGTCCTAGACCAACATAATAAAGTACGAGTGATTACTTTCAGAGCAGCCCTTGTGTGTCAGTATAAGTATGCATATTTTTAACATTTTTCTCATAAACAATTTGTTTTTTCCCAATTTGTTCAATAATGCCTTTCCGAGCTTGTTTTTAACACACTGCTAACTAATACACTGACTACTGCAGTCCGTGTTGTCAGTATGTTATTGTTGCAGCCTTAATGGTTTCAGAATCTCAGAAAGACTACTGCAGAGAGAGGTAATATCTTCTAATTAGGTTGATACAGCTGGAAATACTTATAAGCTTTCAAACACAAGAATCAAATACCTCTGCTCCTCCCAACTGTACCAACTGGCTGATTAGATGTCATTATTTCACCTGTATAAACCGTACATCACTTGCACTGCAGTAATTAATCTGCACTTATGGTTCCTAGATTCAGAGTACTCTTTTGAGTCAGAATCACCATGGATGCATTTCATCCAATTTCATTTGCTGAAGGAATTAAGGGACTTACAAGTCCCATGATCCAAAGTTACTTCTGGAGTGATGCTAAGAGAAGTGAGACAATCACGAAGACTTAACGCAATGCAACCAGTCATATCTCATGTGAGGATCACACTGTAAAGTTTCTGCTGCTGAGCAGAAATTCTTCATACTGTTCTAAAGACAAAAAATTGGAGGTTCTCAGTAAACTTGCCAGCCTTTGGACCATACTGCCAAGGTATGGTCTGGTGCTGGAACAGGCTGCCCAGAGAGGTTGTGGATGCCCTGCTGGAGATGTTCAAGGTTCATCAAGGTTGGATGGGGTGCTGGACCCCAGTATTAAATGGGGAGGTTGGTGGCCCTGCCTGGCGCAGGGGGTTTGGAGCTTCATGATCCTTAAGGTCCCTGCCAACCCAGGCCATTCTGTGATTCTGTGAAGACCTATCTAGGATGTGATTTATGACCACTAGATAGATCAAGCACAGCTAACAACCAGGAAGAGCAAGCTGGTAAACTGGAGGCTTACAGATTATGACTATAAAAGGTGCAATGCAAATGCAATGATTTCTTTCTGAAAAGTACATCAAACAGATTTTCTGATTTCTCCTTTCAAGGCTAGCCTGTAAAAATGAGTAATATGCTCTTACTGGAAAACTTAAGGACATTAAACGTGGCTTGTACATTGGGATTTGCACTGTAATGTTGAGAAAATATTAAAATCAAGGTACTAAGTCTCTTAACCATCCCCAGAGGAACTATTCTGTTTCTGTGTCAGATCAATTTCCCAATTTGCCTTGTGTGCTTGTGCATATATACTCAGCAGAAGCAAAACAGTTGAAACTGCGATCAATTCTTATCCAACTCAGTAGTCTGACAAGCTACCATGATGAAAAACTTAAAATTACTAGTGTATTGAAAAATCTTTAATGAGTTGATAGACACAACCTTTCCTATATTCCACCATCAAATTTACCTGAAGACTTCATTCATATCAGTAAGGAGCTGCATCGTTTAAGATATGTGCTGAGTTTTAAAATGCTCCTATTGTACAGCAATAGTATCTAATCAACATATGTGAAAACTAAGCTCAGCATGAGGTTAAGAACTGTGCTAGAAAGGCAGTAGGTTATTTTGAATAGTCAAATGAACATATCATCTCTTTTTCCATTAGCGTTCCAACAGTCTATTTCCAACTGGTGTTTCTAAAAGCAGCATACCAGCAAATGATAATTCCATCTTTTAAGAAGATAAAGATTTGCTTCATTGGCTGCACTGGCAACATGGCTCATTATAATGATATCTTAATTATACTGTGCCAATCAATCACCAGGTGTGTCTCTGGTGACTTGAGAAAGGAATCCTACCTGTCATTTAATTGTCAGGTGCTTCTGCAGCACATTATTTTTTTGAAGAACACAAAATACTGCAAATTGCAACCTGAGTCTAATTTTTTTTTTTTCTTTTTTCTTCAAATTGGTGATGCTGTGAACAAACTATCAACATCTGCAAAACAGAGCTCAGAAGGGTAAACACACAGGTCTTTCCCCCCGTCCAATTTTGTTGTCCACACATACATAAGCTGGAAAAAATATGCAGTTATCATCTTAAAGTGAGTAGTTCACAGTAAACTCTCCAAAGCCAGTAAAACAAGTTAAGTGAACTAGTTCTTAACATATGACAGTAGGGTCTGGAGGCCAAGTTACTAACCTGTTATTAGCTATTATTACAAGAGATGTTTCAGGGACTATTCACCTTGGAATCAGTTTTCCACATTGTTCTTATGCCCTTTAAAGGAGAACAAAAATCCATCTTTGGACATATACAAGTTTTCTGTTGGCTTCCAGCAACCTATTCATCTATCACTTGGTTATACTTCTATTATACTAAGTAGTACAAACTTCTCTACCCATCACAGGGTTCATACAATAATCCAGGATGAAAGACAATGAATAATTTTTTAACAGTTGTAATCTAATTTTAAAAAAATGATCAAGCCTTACTATTATGATTGCTAGTTATGCTTTCTGTAGGCCTGCCTTGCCCCAACAAGATGTATTAATTATTTTTATGGCAATCTTTGAAAGAGAAAGCACTCACATAAAAACACTGACAATAAACTGAATACATTGAGTTCCTACCAGCTGAGAACAACTTCTAAAGTCAGGCCATTTCCTTAATCCATTTACAGCTAAATTGGACACTATCATATAGGTAGTGATGCAATATAATGAAAAGGAGTGAGAATTACTGCTTCTTTTCCCTCACTATGCATATCTTTTTACTGCAGTACGCTTGATTTCACTGTTGGCAGAACACTTTACCAGCTCCGCTGTTTGATGGAGGAATATGCTAGCTATTAAGAGCTTGCTGTCTGTCTGTTGCCACAATTGCTTCTCTATGTATATTAAAAATAACTCCACCTGCTGTAGTTACCAAAAGCAGATAAATCTTGTGAACACTGCAGCAGTAGTTTCCATTTCTTAACATATATTCCTATAGCACTTCTTCATTCAAGGGTCTCCATATGTAAATAGATGAATAATTATCATCACTTTACAGAAGGTAAACTAAGACATTAGATATGAGACATAAGACCATTAGAAATGGTGAAGTGATGTGCTGTCAGTCAAACTCAGTTGTATGCCACTGAGGAACCAAACACCAAGATGATTTTTGCAGTGCCCTTTCCATTAGATTCCCAATGTACCCCAAAGCATTCACATAGTACTCTTCCAACTGGGGATGCATGAGCTGTGAAAAGCTTTACAAAATGGCTACACAAAACCATGACCATATTTTCAGTCTAATGGTTCTGGATTATACTGTCTTCCAAAATCGACTTGCAAGCTGGTATGCATGCGTTTCCATGTTTAACACACCCATGGAGAGAAGCACAGGGAGGAGCCATAAATGTGAGTGCTTCCTAGCAGTTAAAGTATGACATTTCTTCTCAAAATGAGCTGCTAAATGCACCTGTGGATCTTTGAAGGCCTGCATAGCGCAACAATGTTTAAGATGTGAATTTCCACCACATGGTTCACATTTGAAGGAGCAAACATTTTATTCAGAAAAATCTTCCAGATCATATCGGAACAGAGCTTGTGGTGACAGTGTGTGTGTTGGCACCACTCCATGAGCTGTGTGCTAATATATGGGGCCAGTTTTCCCTCTGACCCTCAGTACTTCGCTTCCCTTTCTTCTGCACACCAGTGGTATGGCTTCCAGCAGTGCATTTTGCTTAAAGATGATGGAACCTCTGCAATTTTAAATAGACACCTATGGGAAGGATCCTATAGATGGCTTGAACTTATGGAAGCATCAAAAGGAAGGTCAGGAGTGCTCTGTGTGCACTTCTCTGCTGCTGAGTGAATGCTGAGTAACAGATCCAGGCAAACCATGTTGATAGGCTGTGGCTGGATTCAACACAAGCTAACAGAACTGATGAAACTCTGTGGTCAAAATCTGAACTTCCTGACACCAGTCACTGGATTCCTCTAATATCACAGAAAGTAAAATGGTTCATCACTGAAGCAGCTCTTTTACCAATCTCATTTTAACCAGCATGCATTATTCCTGAATGTGGTAGGCTATTCTGTCATATAAACAGCCATCAAAAGCTTTCTTAAATCTAGACTGCAGAACATTTGTAAAGCAAACAGTACGTGCATGATTAATCTTTTCAGGAAACAATTTTGCCATTCAGTTTATCCAAGACTCCAGCAGAGGGAGCAGGGCAGTGCAAACAATTAAGGTCAAAAAGAAAGTAAAGATCAAAGATCAGATCAAACAAACACAGAGCTGAATTAATCTGACAAGTACCTGACATTTTATTTTAGGTACAACGATTTTGGTGCTGTGCTTTTTGTGTGTATCAAATTCACAATGCTCCGTAGGTGAAATTACCCATGTACTTTCAAAGCTGATTCATGGCTCTTCGCTTGGCATTGAAGACTCAGTCTGGTAAGTAATAATTAGCAGGATAAGTTACAAGAACATTCCAACATGTCAATCATATACTGTACTTAACTCGTATAATTTACAGCTTAAATATCTAAAGGAATATTTTATAGCACAGGAGCCAGCAGGAGCAATTAAAAGAGGCTTGAATAGAATTCCTCTTCCTCCCATGCCCGCAGATTGCATTAGCATGATTTTACTTTGTGAGTTATTACTTGTTTCTGCTGCACTAATTCAAATAGATTATATGAGTTCTGCAGACACTATTTATCTTGTTCAAATGCTGAAGACAATACACAACATGTTTTATTGCAATTTATGAAGAAGTCTACTACAATGTTTGTTCTGTTTTTTGTCATTTCCTATTTGTTTATCAGGTACTGTTTATCTTGTTTTTGATGAAGGACAGCACAGTTAACTTCAGAAAAGTTATGTGTTAGAAGTGACCAAGTCTAGGAAAAAGTACTGGGGTCTATCTTAGTTTCATAATATTTTCTGCAACTCTACATTTTGCTTATTTTTACAACTATTTGATACAACAGTGCCAAAATTCAGAAGAATAGTCGTTTTTTCCTAAAGTGGCATGTTCATTTATTTCAGAAAAAGAAGGCACAACTTTCTTTTAATTCTAGTTTTGTCATTTCATCCCTCAGAATTCAGTGAAGTTATTCGTAACTTATGACTACTGATATGATAGGAGAGGGTCTACAAAGCAGAGAATACTTTGCTTACTGGCCCACTATACCCTGTCAACATCAGAAAGGAATTCAAAAGACACCTTAATATAGACCAACTCAAAATACAGATCTAAAGCCATGAAGGAAGCCATAAGCCACACAGCCAATTGGACTTCATATCAAGATGAGTGTGATGCACAGTATAGATCATAATATACAAATCAATGTTAAAACTCATTTTCATCAAAACATCCAGTACAACTTCAGTGAAGCTGCTGAGAGTAGAAATGAATTAGGATCAGCCTGATCTCACTCATAACAAGATACATTCTAAATAACTTCTGCTGGTGTTAATTTGCCCCAACTCTATTCCATAGCACAGGCCTAAAGATTTAACCATTAAAGAGCTCTGACAGCACCTACTGTAAATGCATTCTGGCTGTTGTGGAGCCTGAGTATCCAGAAATTTGTGCATGAATTTGTGCTGCATTTGGAACAGGAAATATACATGCTACGCTGCCCAGTGCTGAGAGCCCCAGCTACAGGCGAGTGTGCTAGGTCTGGAGCTGGAAGCTACTTTAATCATGGGAAGTGCTCTCAGACAGGCTGATTATCCCTGATAGTGCTGGATGCTGCTATGATGTATTAATTTCACAAGGTAGGGGCTCAGCACAATGTTATTTTCTGTAAGGTACAATAGCAGATCTATTCGATATAAACTTGGTATTCCCAATTGGTTTTAGCTTGGTAAAATGGCAAAATCTTCATTCAGCCATGCCAAGGGTTCATCTCTTTCATCCTAACTAATTGCACTGCTACTTTTACCATACTTCAGTTGAAATTTTTGTTATTGAAGAGTTATCTAAGAGTTTCATCAGAGTAAACGATGCTATGCTGTATCACAACTACTAGTCTGAATTATTCACATGACTGTATTTGTGCTGTTGCTTAGCTGAAATAATTATTTACAGAAGCTTCTCCTTATTGCATGGACAATCCAATGAGTGCCATATTACCTGCACAGTCTTTCAATTGACTTTCTTACCAGAATAATCACTCCTGATCTCCTCCCATCCCACTTTCCTTTTAAGGATGTTTTTGAATCAAAGTTGCATCTGATCTAGATTAAAACAAATCCAGCAGGGAAATAAAAACTTTTAATGCAAATCAATTCTCTGATCTGGTTCATTGCATTGCTGCTCGCGCCACCACAAGAAAAAGTGCCGAGGAGAAACAAATGAGGGAGGTGAAACAGAACATTTTTTTACTTGGCCATTTTGGCTTAGGGGTGGTCTTAGGCCTTGGTTGGAAATACTCACAATATTCTTCTGATATACAAAGCTGTGCATTTTTTTATGCACACATTTTCCCTTTCTGTCTAACAGAACCATCTCATGACTGACAGCCTCTTACAACACCTTCCACAGAGCTTTTTTTCTTACAAAGATAACACACTTAAAAATACTGCATTTCTTCATCAAGTTATGGGGTTTTTTTGTTTGTTTGTTTGTTTTTTTTTTTTTCTGAAATGCTCAAAATTTTCCCATCATCAGATACTTTCTGGTTGGTATAAAATACTCTGAACATAAATAGACATCAAATCCTTAATATTATACAGACATCATCTATACCTGGTCCACACACGTTGTTTGCTTGTAACTGAACAGTTGTACTTCATGTCAACAAATACCTGAGGTAGCTGTAAGGAATTCAGTTCATGAAACGGGGCTGAGCACACACTAACTCACTATGCCAAGGGGAAACCTCCAGTAGAGACCTCACTTGTGCAGGACAGAGCTGGCATGTATTTTCATATGTTGTCATACCAGCACAGCCATCAGGGAAAAGGGCTGCACTGCTTTTTTTATGAACGTGTCTCCTCTTCAGATAATTTCCTTACCTTTCCTATTACTTAAATAATCAGAGCTGTACATGCAAAATCGATGCAGGCAAAATACTTCACAACTATTTCTACTGAGATCACTTGGTTTGAGTGGAGCTAGCAGACTGTGATTCAAACTAAATGATTCCTGTTTCCTTCCTTTTATTCACAGTGTTTATGCAATCTACTGTTTGGCAACCTCATTTCAAGGCCAGTGACCCACCACTTCTTGTGATTGTTACAATGATCTGTAGAAAATCTCTTCAGGATAAACAGTTAATGGGCACCGTTCAGCCACAGCTACTGCTACATCTTAGTTTCAAGTATCAAAAACCAGTTTGGGATCTTCCTGGAGGTAACACAGAGCAATATTATGAGACATCAGTAGGCAAAGCAAATCTTTAACAAATGTAAACCAGCAAGAATTTATTAGCAACAACTGGCAGCAGAACCATATATACGCACACAGGTGCGTATATGACATAAGTGTGTTCCCTATACTGCACCTGTCCTGCTCTTTTTTGAACACAAAATGAACCTTCCAAGATCTCGGTTCTTTTCTCTAGCAATTCCAAATGCCATAAAAATGCTGGAAAGAATCAGTCGTCCTATTATTTACATGACTTACAACTCACAGCACAGCAAATCAATGTCAGCACTGCAGCAGAGCCTGGAGGCAAACACCTGGCTCCACTGATGCTGGGAGCAGAGTTCTCACTGACATTCATAGAAGCAGGACATCTTCCTGCAGTGCCTTGTGCCAGCTTCTACCCAATAGGCAGTATTGCATAGCCAATGGAAATCGTGCAACAGCACATCTCTGCCTGGAGTAGTGATAGGGGTACTGCTGGGTTCACTGGGAAGATTGCTACCTGTTTTTTTTCTAGCCCTTTTATTTTATCATTTCTAAAATCTGTTGAATTAAAGATAGAATGGTAAGGAGAGAGAGGCACAATATTAGCTGCTGAAAATCAAGATTATTGTTTTTTCCAGGTAAGAGGGTTCAGAAAATGTAAGGGGGTGGTTTATCTCAGTTTATTTTACTTCCATATTGTTCACCATTAAAGCCTTTATTTCTTTTCCTTGTAATGGCTGCTTCAGTTTACTTGGGTACTTATGTTTTAATTCCTAATTTATTTCCAAAGCAATTTGTTGGGTCTGCTCATTTTAACTTTCCTCCTCCTCTCAAACCTTTTCTCGATTTTTGTCTTACGTGAGGTTCAGGTTTCCAGTCAGCTCTACCAGGAGCACAGAAAATCTACTCACAATGATCTACACTGTGATAGTTCTTTATAGGTGAAGAGGAATTAACATTTTGGAACTAAAGGCTCAACCTCAATGACGCTCTATGAGATCTTCTCAAGGTTTAATTTACCTTGTGATGGTCAAGTTGCACAAGTGATCACTGCCTACCTGATGCAACTCTTCCATAAGAGGTGAGAAAAGGATGCTTGCTTGGGAATGACTCAGGTGGTAATGAAATATAGGACAGCAATAAAGTCAAAGCATTTGCGAAGCAGAAGCAGATCTTGAAACACTGGTGCTATCCTATTGCCCGCATTTTCCTGAGCCCAGTCAGCCTGGCCTTCTCTCCAAGGGGTGTTTAGGGTTGGTGGGACTCAGACTGGTGCAGACAGGTCTGTGCCCCACAGACCTGATACACGAAGAAACTACCCAACCCACAGGCTGGTGTGAAGACTTGTTAGGTGAGGGATTCCCCTCTCAGTCATGGTTTTGGCTTTTGGATGGCAGCACTTTCATACACTTGCAGCAGACTGAAGATGATGGCACTGCATGGCTCTACATGCATTAACACCATTGCTATTAAGAGGACCACAGGCTCTGGCAAGTTCTTTTTTCTTTTGTAGTTTTATTAATTTCTTCAGAATTTTCATCATGGCTCCTGAGTATCCAGAATAGTACATAAAAAAAAAACAACAAAAAAACCAACCCAAGACTTCAAGCTATCCTGATCTTAAATTAAAACCCCTTTAACAAAAAACATGGTAGTCAAAGGTCTTTTTTTTTTTTTTTTTCCATAATGAACATTTTTTAATAAAGACGTGTGGTTTGTAAATGAGCTTTTAAATAACTAAAGAAAAAGAAAGGACATAGAAGCATGTTTGTAAATGTCTGTGGAAAAAAAGACAAGGCATTATTTTAAGTAATTAAAATCAAAGCTTCAATGATTTGTCTTGTCATATGTATAATGTATGACATTACTTTTATTTAAAAGTTAGAGTTAGAGAAGGAAATGGTGAAATGGTAGCACATTAACTAATGCTATAGGACAGAGAGTCTTTTCTGGGCAATATTTCAATTAAATAAAATTTTCAAACTTGTATTTCACCATTTGCAGCTCACATATTAAAAATCTATTAGCAGAAAACCCATTGAAAAGCTGACCATGAGCACAAGAGACTTTTTCTAGAAACACTCCTATTCAGTTCTCATGGCGGAACAAAAGCAGATTGGCACATTTGGTTATATACAAGCGGCCTTGAAAGGGACCTTCCCCCCCTTTCCCATAGCCACGCGTTTCAGGCTCTATATGTTGAAGGAAGGCAGTGAAAGGTTTGGAGGGGTGGGGAGACCAAGGGCTTCCACCAAGATCCTTCAAAGTCCTCGTCTTCTATAGTGGGAAGATTTCCCTCTAAATCCCTTTCAATAGCATATTGACGGCTTTGAAAGCTTAAATGGCATTTGTCAACCATCAGTAAATCTTGAAAACTGTTTCTGCAAATAGCCCAACTCTGAGTCTCAGCTTTTCCCATTAATCTGTACATAAGGCCACTGAAGACTTTTTCAGACCCTAGATAATGCCTGGATTAAAAGGTCCATTCAGAAGGGAAAACTTTAGCATTCACCTTGTGTACATAGCCATTTCACCAGTGGTATTCATGGGTTGTTATTTCAACTCTTCATTTGTCCTGCAAACAAGACATTTTGCCACAAAGCCTTGGTAGAGACATTCTTTAGTGAATTACTGAAACCTAGCCCCTCTATTTGTCATGGCTTGTTATTTTTATCAAGTGTAATCAGTTCAAATAGTAACCCCAGACTGACAACTTTACAATTACATTACTATTTTAAGAGTGGAAGGTATGTTTCTTCTAATTCAACAACAAAACAGATTAAAGCACAACCTGATCACTTCATCTAATGAAACAGTTTAACATTTCCCTTAATCAAAAGATTTTTTTTTTTGTTTAGAGTGAAAGCAAAGATAGAACTCTAATAATTGTAGCTCAACATTTTTACTTTCTATTATTTAATAAAAACTTCATGCATTTGCAAAGTTTAATAACGCGCACACTTCTACTTAAGTTGTTGTATGACCTATTAATGTTGGTGCTTTTTTTTTTTCATTTTGCAACCAGTCAGTGATACCATTTTGAAGGGTAGAAAACATCTAATTATTGCTACCATTAAAATAATCAAGATAAAATGTTTTTGCATCACGGAAAATAAGAAAAACAGAAACAAAATTGGAAGAGATTCCAATGACACAATGTTAGGCAGATTGTTTAATATTAAATAAAAAAAAAAAGAGAAAACACATCCCTGCCAAATTTGTCCTGGTCCAGATAGATCTCATTGTCTGAACAAATAAACCTTTTTATCATACTCAAAGTAGGGATCAGTGAAATTCACTGGACAGCCCTCACAAAGATACCCAAAGATCACCATTCTCAGACATAAGGGGAAATCATAATCAAATACTTATATGTGCAAATTTACATGAACTATACCTGAAGGCCAGTTCTTGCATCTTCTTTTATCTACCTCACTACCAACCTGTGTGAACAAGTGCCCCCCACTCTTTTTGCTATCAGCTGAAGAGACTTCATACTTTTAAGTATGAGCTGCAGCGTGGATGTGGCCTAAGAAAGCACCCAGGCTCAGCCCAACTCACTGCAAAACTAATCTGAATTGTGTCACACTACCTAAGCAGCAGGGTTTTTCCCTGATCAAAACTGACCCCTCTCCATACCCCAACTTACTGTGTTAATAATATCACAATTATGTATTTTGAAGATTTCTGGAGGAACTATGCCAATGATCTCTTGGCTGATTAAATGTAAGCTGGGTCAGATTTTTATCTCTGGGCCACTCCGTGAAGTGCCTTAGAGTATCCTGTCTGTCTTTTAAATACTTTCCACATCGCAGGGGATGTGCTTCCTGCACAGATCAGCTCTTTTTTTACCCCATGGGGATATGTCAAACAACCTGAAGTACCTTAACTCGCATGAGTTAAGTATGTGTGAGCAGCTAAATGCTGCATTAAAGTACAGAGAATCAATCTATTTGACTAAACATAGAGCCATCTGAAAAAGTCTAGGTTATGTGAGATATCCATGCAAGCCTGGCAAACATAATATTATGACCTACAAGACCAGCTGCCTTTTGAAGACACAGCTGAAGACCAGGCAGGATACCCTAAGGCAAATCAAGTGCAATAGTTACTTATGCTTTGGCAATTACACTGAATTCTGAGATTGGGATTCACACTGTCCTGCCAGGTAAGGCTAGATTCAGTGTTTTGCTGATGGTTTCCAGATGGTCAGAGCACAGGCAGAGTTCACACCTCTTTCTAAAAAAAATCTGTGTAGATGTTACTCCAAATGCATGTTGAATCCTTTGGGACTAGAAATGAGTGGTATCGCAGAAGAGTGAAGTGTTCCTTGTAAAACTTTATCTGTATCACTAAAAGAGTTGAATTTCCAGATTGCCATGTTATTTAAAAAAAAAAATACCTTGGCTTTTTGTTGGAAGAAGGATGACTTTCAGAACGAGGGCCAGAGTTTTCTGCCTGTAGGAGTCATAGATCCTTTTATTTCCTCACAATTTTTATTCTAAATACTCCATGGACTTAGGAAGCTAATTTCTATGCAGCTCAGAAAAAGGGAAAAAACAACCTCATTCTTGCTCTGATTTGTGAATAAAGAGCTGTAAGCATCTGTATTCTAGCTTGCATTGTACAGAAAATGTGATATAATTCTGAGATATAAGTTCTGAGACACAATTGCTATCTCTTCTCTTGGAAGAGCCAGATGTGCATCTTCTGTCCAGCAATAACCATGAATGATATACATTGGCAGGGATGGTGGTGGTGAAAATTTTCTGGGCAGGAACATCTTATCTGAGTTGAAGTAATTACATGCTTACCACTTCTTCCATCTAATTTTTCTTTGTATACAGTAATATTTAATTATGGAGTCGTTTTCAAAAAAATCCCTAAAGAAAGAGTAGGCTACTATTTAGAATTTGAAGAGGTTGTAAGAAGAGAGAGGAACTGATCTTGCTGTGGCAAGCATGGTTGTGAAACTGAGAAGAAAATCCAGGTCTGATTGTCAGATCACCTATGGGCTGACACTGCCTCCTCAAGTATAAACAATAAATATTCCCTTGCTAACCGCAACTCTCAGTAGTGCCTCAATGAATGTATCTACATTTTGTTGCAATTCTTCCATCAGTTTTTATTTTTGTGACCATGTTCTCACGTTCAAACTAACATAGTTTTTGCAGCTGACATAACATGGGTTGGGTACAAGTACTGCAGATGTTTACAATGCCAACATTTTGTAGAAGATAAAAACTCAACCGAAAACTTTGTTATCTACTTCAGTTTAAGAGTGACATCATACAGAAATATACTTTTTTTTTTCCCTTCACAAACACTATTCAGTGCATCTCGCGGCAGGGGAAATTAATTTTCCAAACTCAGTCTTTAAAGGATATTATTTTTTTTAATAGGAGCGTCTTTGAGACAGAACATATGCCCCATTTTTTCTATCCACACCATAAAATGGTTTTCCCATTCATCATAAATAGCTGTTTTGGGTTTTTTTTCTTTCCCTACTAAAGTTTTTATAGGGCCTACCTCTGTATTTTAACTGTACCTGACATAGTGGATTCACAATCCTGATTATGGCTGTGGACTGCAATATAACTGAAACACAAATGATAAATAGAATCCTTATGCTTATCTGACTTTTAAATATAACTTTCAGTATATAAAGATGTAGGTGGATGGAATTATTAAGCAGGCTGGCCGTAGCTGCTTGCTGAACTACTTGATTCTGAAAAATGGGGAAGCCTGAGGGAAGATCCTTAACATTCCTTTAGCACAGCCTAAGGTTACATGATTTTTCTCTGCATTATTATTGCATAGCACAAAAATATATGTGCAAATGCGAGGCCCTAAGGTTCGTCTTGGCTCTGCAAGGAAAGGGCGTTTTAAACTCCAGTGCCCTCCACAAAATACCTTCTATAGCTAAACACTGAAGAGAGCAGTTCAGCAATTTCTTCTAAGTCATGTGTGATGGACAATTTAGAGATCTGCTTACAATAGTAGGCATATTACAGACAGAATCTCAGACTACTGATTGGCAGCAAGCTTCCAAAATGAGAGGTGCATATATTCTTTGAAGGCATCTTAGTATAATACTAGTTAGGCTGGTTAGTAGGTATTTCCAGAACAGTCTTCATTTTAAAGACAGGGATTAAAAGTGAAAGATTCTGTGACCCATGGACTTCATTCAGTAAGATTGCATGAGTGACAACTGTTTGTCTGGGTTAAGACTGCAGGACCATGCCCTGGCATTTCATGCTGATTGCATGTTAATGGTTTTAGAGCGAAACTTAATCTCTTTCAGGGCATCCTGATTTATAGTTAAATACAATAGTTGAAGCCAAGGAGAAATAGAATAACATCTCCCAAAAAACCTATCTGAGTTCTGCCATACCACATGCATGCGCTGGGCTGACAGCCACAGCTAGGACTGCAGAGCTACTACCTACCTGAATCAGGAATCAAGATGTCCAGCAATTTGGCGTAGGCTATGGCTTTTTCGCTTTCACTTTGTGGGATTAAAAACCCTCATCTGTAAATCCTATGTCAGCAGTAGATCCAACCTTTAATTAACTACTGAATTATTCTATGATGACTATGGAGAAAGACACCAAAATGCCTTGGGAAATCAAACAGCATCCTTAGAGAATAACAGATGCACTGTTTATGAGGGATAATTCTTTCCCATAAAGGAGAACAGAATTTAAATATTCCAAAACTCAAGTTAAACCGATTTTCAGAAACTATTAGCTGCACAGCATTACAGATCACAGGGTACAATGACACCCTGGCCCACAAAACCACCTTAATCAGGGCCTCTCTCTCATGGCACCATCCTATTTTCAAGTAACAATGCTTTCAAATGAGCCGAAAAGATGTACTTTGCTCCCACCATTACAATTTCTGCTCTTCCTTTCTTCACCCCTTTCAAAAACATGAAAGCATTGGATTGCTAATTACTTTTATCCAGCCTATAGGAAAATTAGTTTATCTTCCTGATCAAAGCAAATTAGGCAGATCATGGCTGATTAGAATGCAACAGTAAAATCTCCATACTTTCTATTCCACCCCCTTTTCTCTCAGAAACAGGGCCTGTGTCAAATATGTAGGTATTTCCCACGGCCAGTCTGGACTCTGTTTCCAACAGGCTCTGAGGCTGGGACAATGGTTCTTACACAGACACTGAAGTTCTTTAGTTCAGTCATTGTGCACGGAAAGAACTGGTAACCCCTCAGTTAGCATTTGATGAAACATCTAGATTTACATATTTCCCTAATTGCATTTTTCGAATGTGAGTGAGATTTATCTGACCAAAGTTAAATGCTTCCTTTATTCTACTACCCAAAATACAAACCTATACACTGCAGGCAGAGCTGCATTTGGTTCTGACCCCATCACTACAATTTTGATTTTCACTATAGTGGGACGAAGCATTGTCTACCTTAACTTCTCATAGCATAACTTAAGAATGGCTTGGCTAGATGCTTTCAAGTTCCCTGCTACATTGCGTGGCAAAACTGGATGTTACTCCTTCTAAGTAATTGCTTTAAGCAGCACATTCAAGTATCTTACGATTCACTTTTTGCCTTTCATAACTTGTGTTCTATGGCTTTAACAGATGAAAGCCAAGCTATACCGCTACTTTATTTATAACCAATTACTATAAATTAACAGTAAATCTCACATTTAGCTCCATTTAAACATCACTATGCAGCTGCCCATTTGAAAATAAAATGGTTGCCTTCTTTCACTTCAGTGGGCACAATACAAAACATCCATTGAGCTATTCCTTTATTGCAGCTGCCAATGCCCAGCCGACTTTTAACAAACCAACCAAGCGTAATAACAATGCAGCTGCAACATTTTATGGTATTTCTGTTAGTTCTCTTTTGAGACTGAAGGTGTTAATTAGGAATCAAAGAATACAACCCTGCCAGCTTTCTTTCACAAACTATGCACTGGCCACTGCAGTTTTCAGAAGAAAAATAAATCTAATAAAGGGACAAAAATGTTGTTTGTCACACCAGTAACGTGTATTTAAGACCCTTTGATCATGAGCTTTTTATGTAGTCTTGTCAGACAGGCTGAAAATATTTTTTCCTCTCTTTTCTCCTTTCTTTAGGCTTTTCTGAATACTGATTCTAGGGTTGTCTGGCAAGGTGAAAAACCCGATAGGCACTGGAGTGCTCTACAGGTTAAAATGGCTTTGCTAAGTAAGCCAGCCTTAAATCAGATCAAATCAAAACTGTTCACTTTTTTGATTCAAGTGTAAATTGTTTTGGAACACAGATGATCTGTTTCTATTATACAGCTTACTAGTTCCATCTATCATTTAATATTTCAGATATTTTAATGGCTGTGTTTAATATTAATGTATCAATTATTTTGTGGAATCTCATTTTAAATTCTCAAAAATGAGAGTTTGCTGGAAGTTGTAAAATATCCATTACATACATTTTTTTCATGTGTACCATAAGATATATGTATGCTATATTTTATTTACACTTACTAACTGTAATTGTATTAGAGTATCATATATTCAAAGGCAGCAGCATGAAGTCATTACCTTTAATCTTTAGTCAAAGTTAAAACCTTAAAATAGGTTTATGAAGTTAGCACAACTGAGAATTAGTCAAGCTTGCTAGCTTACGCAGCAAGAGCTTTCACTCTTGCCAAAATCGTGCCAAAATCCATTAATCCTGCCAGAGAATGGCAGAAAGAAGTTCTGCTTGTTGGTTTAATAATAATGAAATGTACATGCTCTCAAGGCTACCTGCAGAGTCTTCTGAACTGCAAAACAAATAACGTCAATTTTAAGAAATACTTTTTACAAAGGGTTATATAACAGTTTTCTTTGCCTTAAACACTATGGAGGAGGCTTCAAACTACAGCTTTGTTCATCTTGTTAGACTTTTAATGCAAACCCTTATCATGTTATATATATATATAAATATATATAAAATGTTATTACAAAATATATTTGGTACAAACTTGATTTATATGCTTTGTTACCTGACATAGCTATGCCCATTTTCTTCTTTCAGCATAGAATCTCCTCATACAAAAGCAGAAGAAACCAAAACAGACTTTTTTTGTAAGCTGTGAAGAGTAACAGATTTAGGATTTCCTGGAAAGACAAGTTTCCTACGAAGAAAAACAATTTAGATGGAGAGGTGCTCCAAGAAAAAGTGCCTTCTATGGTGCCAGCACGTGTCTACACTAGCAGGTCTTCTTCAAAGAGACTGCCAGCCACATTGAAATAATATAAAATATAAAAATTAATGTAAAAATAAATATTCTAAATCCCAAATATTTGTAAGAACTTCTTTCTCAATCTGCATACAAACACAGAAATATATTTGTGTTCTACCAAATGTAACTTGCAAAGGCAATCTTCTGATATCCGTTCTTTGTCTTATCTGATAACATCATATAAAGTGAGATGAAATTCAGACAGAATAGCTACAAACTTCTTATAAACAATCCCTTCCTAGATCTGGAATAGTAAGCTGAGAAGCTTGAGTAAGCTATTAGCTTTCCATTGTAAGGCATCTCCTTCCTATTTTAATAGTTTAAAGATTGAAGGGATAAAGATCTTAAAAGCAGTACTATCACTTTCAGATGCAGACAGCAAACAGAGGCTTACTGGGAATGGATCTGGCATTGAGTAGATAATTTGGAGGTAACACTCCCCACATTTGGATTACTTGATATCACACCAGTTACACCATGATCTGTCTTTCCTTCCAAACACAAAATAGGTAGTTCTGTATCTGTGTCCAAAACTACATCATTGCCTAACATACTAGAATACATGATACACTGGTATCTAATTAATCTAATAAAACTAGTCTATCTAGTAGAACAACAGAAGTATTTTTCCTTTGACAAAATGAAATATTCAGACACTGATAACAATTAATGATTTCTAAATCATAGAATGGCCTGGGTTGAAAAGGACCACAGTGATCATCTAGTTTGAACCCCCCTGCTATGTGCAGGGTTGCCAACCACCAGACCAGGCTGCCCAGAGCCACATCCAGCCTGGCCTTGAATGCCTCCACGGATGGGGCATCCACAACCTCCTTGGGCAACCTGTTTCAGTGATCACCATCCTCTGTATGAAAAACTTCCTCCTAATATCTAACCTAAACCTCCCCTGTCTCGGTTTAAAACCATTCTCCCTTGTCCTATCACTATCCACCCTTGTAAACAGCTGTTCCCCCTCCTGTTTATATGCTCCCTTCAAGTACTGGAAGGCCACAATGAAGTCTCCCCGCAGCCTTCTATTCTCCAAGCTAAATATATATTTTACACTTCATATAGAATTTATAAGCTTCTGTACAGAGCTTCTGCACCATATGGAACCATTGCAGCTGAAAGTAATTAACCAGAAGATGCAAGTATTTCCATTGGCTTGCATTTGTTTGTCTCTAGAAAACAGACAATACTATGTGTAATAAATCCAATCATTTTAACAGAGACTTCTGTGTAGAACTAGCAAACCTTGTTGTTGTTGTTGGGTCTTCATGTTCCTGCTTGACAGTTCTGAAGAGTGAAGCTGCTCCTAGGATAGCTATGGGATAAGCTGCCTTTAAGCGTTTTCTATTTTCTCTGTGAATTGTATTGCTGTCCTAAGTAACCTAAATTGGGTAGGAAATATTAGTTGTAAAAAAATGCAGAAGAAACCTCTAGCTTTCCCTGCCAGACCTGGCTCTTAGAAGCAGCATAAGCTTTACTCCAGTATCCCTTATAGAACTGTTCTTAATCAATATTCTTAATCAGCATCTTTCAAAATCAACTGCATGTTGTATTTTCTTAAATACTGAAAGACCAGCATGAGGTACAGAATTGGTATTAAAATCAATCTTGTATTCATTTCAGAATATAACTCAGCCTAGTGTATATGCTTACATGCTGACATCTCAAATGTTTTTATACACAGTGTGAATCACAGAATCACAGAATCACAGAATTGTAGGGGTTGGAAGGGACCTCCAGAGATCATCGAGTCCAACCCCCCTGCCAAAGCAGGTTCCCTACACCTGTTTACCTGTTTTTTGGAGGCTTTTTTGGCCGTTGTTTATGAACAGTATTTCATGGTCAATCTTGTTCTTTCGTTTCTCTAGTTAAAATTTTTATCCACCAATTTAGTGTCATATGTTAATACTCCAATGTATTATACCAACGCAATTTGTGCTCTGAGTGCTTTTCAGCAATTTTAAATTAGTGTATGATCCCATGGCAGCAGAAAACAGCAATTAAGCTAACCATCACCTTGCCTATTACAACATATAACTAAGTAATTTTACTAAATCCAGTGGTCAGAAACAACCTTGTCAACAAGATTGTAATGAATATCAAATAAATGAAAATGTTATCAGGAAACAGCATTCATGTTTTTACATGAGCTGCATTATCTATTCAGATACATCTTGATGTAGAAGTAAAGATTAAGTTTGAATTTATAAACATTGATAGGATTCCTTTCTCCACATTTAGATCCTCATGCACTGAGATCATAGAGTCACAGAATCTTTTGAATTGGAAGGGACCTTTAAAGGTCATCTAGTCCACCTCCTCTGCAGTGAACAGGGACACTCACAGCTAGATCAGCTTGCTCAGAGCCCTGTCCAGCCTGACCTTGAATGTCACCAGAGGCAGAACATTCACCACCTCTCTGGACAAACCATTTCAGTGCTTCACTACCTGTATAATAAAAAACTCAGCCTCAACTATTTTTTTTGTACTTGCCCTGATGTTTTAGAAACTATTCAAAGCTCTTTTAACTAGAAGTGAAAAACATATACATATTACATCATTAAATAGTAAAGAATGATACACTCTGAAACCACATTGTAGAATCATCATAGTACACAACTTCAAAGCCTATTTTTTTACTATAACTACTGACAAATTCCACCTCCATCAATTTCAACTACATCAATAATTCTGCCGTAGTATATAAAGAAAAATTCTGAGTTCCCTTTGTTCTGTGTCATCCTCCCCACCTGGAGCAGCCCTGGGCTGTTTCTTTCAATCCAGCTTGCACAGTGGTGAGCCACGTGTTCCCAAAGTGCACCTGAGGTCACTGCAGTAGCAACAGGCCTTCTCTAATTGCACCCAAGGGGACCAATGCAGGAGTTTGCCTGTCACACTGCTGAACACCTCAGCCTGTCTAATAAGCCGGGAGCTGCTCCATCAGTCAAAAAGCCTACAAATATACCAGATGTTTGTCAGACAGAGTCACACTGGAGAGTAATGGTCTGAGGCATTTTGTTGCGATGGACTTGGTGGCATGGAGGAGCACTCAGACTGGAGTCTAAATGTGGCAGTAAATATTAGATTACCAAATGTTTTATATTTTCAAATTGCTTCAGATGAACAACACTATGCTGCTGTCAGCAAACAACAAAAGAAGGCATAGTGCACCTCTGATTTTATTTCATACTTTTACAGCTTGATATGTATTTCATTTATCTTTAATTTTAGTAATGGTGACTGAAGGAACAGAAGTATAGTGCTACAAAGTGTTTTTTTCTTTTATGTCTTCCTGTTATTGTTCTCCTGTGGCTAGGACGGCCAGCCATTACTGAATGCATACCATTACACGATGATACACTTATTTCCTTATGGTCTAATCTTGATCAGAACAACCACTTTAATGCTATCTTATGAAAGCTGAGAACACTTTCAATGGAAGCCCTCAGTGCTGTGATAAACAAAACCACTAATGAATATAATTTACAATTAATTACTCTTATTGTGTTCTCAGGCAGTTATTCATTCACCAAATATGAAAAACAAATCCGTTTGCATACTCAACACATAGTGATATTTGGATAAAGATTAGACTCACTGCGACCCAACAGAATGTACTACAATAGAGCTAACTGACATTCTGGGAGCTCAATCCATATAATCACAAGGAGATGCTATTTTAGCTTCATTGGGAACTGAACTGCTTCATAATTAGTTTTCACAAGCCCTTATCAGAACAGATTAAACTAGTGGCATGTTGACAGCATGCAACATTTTCCTATATGCTTCCCACACAGAGATATAACAGTGAATATAATACTGTCCAGCAAGTTTGGGTATTGCAAATTCTTTATGAAATCTGATGCTCTTACAGCAGTGCCCCATGGTCAGACCCCCATCGGCAGCAACACAGAGCTACATGCCTGCAAGATGCTATTGTTGTGATTGATGATAAATGTAGAAAACAGACCACATCTGGCTTCAAGTTTACAGGATTCTTCACAGATGACTGGAGATAGCCATTAAAGGCTGAGGCACCAATATGTGGACAAATGTGATTTGATAACTCTATTTGGTGGGATGATATCTGTCCATAATAAATATAACGAAAGCATCATGGTGCTACGTAAGCATCCTCTTAAAAAAAAACAAAAAACCAAAAGACCATAAATCTGTTGCATCAAAAATCTGAATGCAATCACCAGCAACAGAAAAGACTGAAAAATAGAAGAAAAATCTCACCTTCCTCAAACTGCTGGAAAATCTGAATAGCTGATCACAACACTATGACACAAAGAAACTTTCACAGAATCACAGAATTGTAGGGGTTGGAAGAGACCTCTAGAGGTCATCGAGACCAACCCCCCTTCCAAAGCAGGTTCCCTACAGCAGGTTGCACAGGTAGGCCACAGTACTCCAGATGAGGCCTTACCAGGGCAGAGTAGAGGGGGAGGATCACCTCCCTCGACCTGCTGGCCACACTGTTTTTAATGCACCCCAGGATGCCATTGGTCCTCTTGGCCACAAGGGCACAATGCTGGCTCATGGCCAACCTGTCGTCCACCAGGACACCCAGGTCCCTCTCTGCAGAGCTCCTCTCCAGCGGCTCATCCCCCAGCCTGTATTGGTGCAAGCAATTCTTCCTCCCTAGGTAGAATACAGATCCTGGCAGAATACAGATCCTGATACAAGCAAGACAGAAATGATTACTTGGTCGCACGTCTATTTTTTTTTTCCTTAAAATAATTTTGACTTCTATTGGTTTCATAGACAGATACCCTGCACAGTAATGACTTTTCCTTCAAGAGCTACCATATTGTGACTGAATGTTTTAATTTAATTATATTAATACTTTTCTAAAATCTATGAATTTTTCAAACTGAATTTGTGTTAGCAGTCCTAATTCTAGAGAATCAAGTTAACTCCATCATTATAAGCAAAGAAAAGCCTACCTGAGTCTTCCTTGGCATAAGCATTAAATTAAACACATGGA